GGAGGGAATGCCCTGGCCTTTGGATTTATTCACAGAACAGTTGCCTAGATGGCAAGGACAATATTAAAGTATTCGTAAGAGCTATAGGTTATGAGACTGATAAGCGCATCAGCCAACATTCAAGGACGAATGTTCCAAAGAGGGGTAACACACCCTATGTTTTCGCACGTGAGAGTACGTCATAAGTCGATTGATGTAAGCTCATAAATGAGATCGTCTTTGAAGGTACATAAAGTAAGTTAATCATGTTACCTTGGAGGTAACAAATCTTTAAGATCATGGATAACAAGTACCAAGAGGGTTGAAAGGCTTTTTAGAAGCTAAACAAATTGAAGAAAATAAGTTTCGTCGAATGTCGACAAGTTGGAATGTTATAACATGTACTTTTGGGGTGATACTAGGGTGATTAACTAGATAAGGAGGTTATGTTATGAGTTATTTTACTCGTATGATAGTCGTGTATTACGTTTTGAAGTCAAGCGAATTGTAGAACAAAAGTTGCAAAGGTCATCACAAGTTACATTCATAAATGTGCTGAAACCTAGGTCAAATGCAGCTGAGATTTTCTCCCAATATACTTGGAATTACATGATGATCCACCTACCAAATTGAAGATCTATGAGTCTAGTTTCTAACACATTAAACCGTTCATCAATACGACATTGGAGTAGAGAGATATACGCATTTTCGCAAGACTGCGCAGGCAGCCCCTATGGGACCCACTTGAACGGTGGCCGATCTTCACTTATTTTTATCTCGTTTTTGGGATAAGCTTTGCTCATTTTTCGACCTCCTTCCATCCTCACACTCTCCAAACCCTCCCAACCAGTTCCACCCAAGGCTCCAAAAAAATTTCAAAAAAATACACCATAATCCAACATCAAAGTTGGCCAACGGTGAAGAATAACCCCTCTATGGTATTGTGATGTGATTAAAGGATGATAGTGAGCTAAGTTAAGCTTAAGGTTTGAATTTTATCTACTACCTAAGGTATGTTTAACATCCTTTCGATGGTGTTTAAGGTTAATTACATGATGGTTGTGGTGTTGGAGTAAAAGATTACAAGAGAGCACTTGAAAAGGGAAGAGATGTTGTTTTAAGGCTACACACACACACACATATGTGTGTGTGTGTGTTGTTATGGCTAAAAATTGGAGAAAATATCTTGATTATGATATGGTTTCTGTTGTTATGCATGTCTATAGGTTTATCAAGTGAATTGATGAAAGAAACATATGAAACTTGATATTGGAAGTGAAGATTAGCTTAAGTCACTTCTATGGTGTTGTATTGCCATTGAGGGCTGGTGTAAGCTAAATATAACTCGAATTTCGACTTGAAGCTACCGTTGGAGGTAACTATATTGTGTTCTTTCATGTGCTCAAGGTTATCTTGATGTTGATTAAGTTAAATTGATGGACTAGACATGAATTAGTGAATAAAGTTGCTAATTGAGGATAGTTGGAGTTGTGGATTGTTTTCTTTGTTATAAATATATGGTATAATGCTGGAATCATTGATAAATGACTTCATTGTCATATTAATGATACTGTTAAGTTAAAGTAAGAAGTCTATAAGGGGTGATCCATATGATACAAACGAAACGAGCAAACGTGCAATTTTTACAAATGACTCTATTCATAGAAGTACTAGAGATGCCTATATTCTTGAATCCCCATGTGTCCTATTATTATATTGTATGTTCATGGGTCTCAGAAAATACGTAAGTTGATAAAGTTTATTTCATGATATTAACTGAAGACATATTGATCTTATGATATCCCGAGAGATCTTATTGACTTACTTCTTATGCATTGCATTCATTTATACATGTACATTGACCCATGGCCAGATGGCGTTATATACACGTATATTATATGTATATGGGGTATGGGGAAAGGTTATGGCTTTATATACGCACCACCACCTGATCAGTTGGTATACGTTGATGATTTCGCGCACAGAGGCCGAGATGATATGATGGGATGCCCTCAGAGGCTTGATGATGTTATGTACGCATATACCTATGCATGATATGACACATTTATACGCATATGCATGACACTATAAATGTTCCATGATTCACTGAGCCATTCAGACTTACAGGTTGAGTCCTTTACTTCACGTTTCTTTTATGTCTTTTATATACTTCTTTTCATGCCTTACATACTCGGTGCTTTATTTGTACTGACATCCCTTTTGCTTGGGGACACTACATTTCATGCCCGCAGGTCCCGATAGACATGTTGACAATCCTCCTAGTAGGCTATCAGCTCAGCAGAAGGTGTTGGTGTACTCTCCTTTTTCCGGAGTTACCTATTTGGTCAGTATGCTTTGGACGTATATTGATTGGTATGGCGGGGCCCTGTCCCGACCTTTATGATGTTTATGTACTCTTAGAGGCTTGTAGACAGATGTCATGTATATGGATGATTGTATGGCCTTGTCGGCTTATATTTTGAGTGTATAGATGATCATTTTGGTCTTATAGGCCCGTATGTCACATGTATAAGTTTGTATACCATGTTGCATCGTCCTATGTCTAGTATTCCCTTATGTCTTATTCTAGTTATCTCATAAAGGCATTTCCGGCTCATTTACCCATGATAGTATGATAAGAAAAATATGTTACGCTGATACTCGGTTGAGTAAGGCATCGGGGGCCCGTCGCGGCCCATCGGTTTGGGTCGTGACAGAAAAGGTCAATATATGCCCTTGAACAATGCGAAATTGATTTGCGTTGTCCGTCGTTAATACTTTGGCACAAATATGCCCTGCCGACCAATACTTGCTCTAAATATACCCTTATTTTAAACGGCCTTGTATGGAGGGCATATTGGTCCCCACGCGCATACTTTGAGGGCATATTTGGCTCATTCAAGTTTTCAAGCTTTTATGGTATTGAGTTATCTTGTTCGGTTCATGCCAATGTAATGAAAATTTGTAATGATAAATCCCCCTCAAATCGATTGATTTTCTTCTGTAAATCCTAAGTATGAATAAAGAGAAGCAAAGTATAGAAAAAGGTAAACCATTTGTTGGAAGGCCTATATCAATAAATTTTTCCACGGCATCATATGCCTCAAAACACCACTAAATAGCCACTCTCAGCATCACAACAATAAAAACCAATACAATAGACAAGTGTATCAGCCGAGGGTCTATCGGAAGCAGTCTCTCTATCTCCCCCCCCCCCCCTCCAGGGTAGGGGTAAGGTCTGCATAAACACTACCCTCCCCAAACCCCACTAGTGAAATTTCACTGGGTTGTTGTTGTTGTTGTTGTTGTACAATAGATAAGTCTAGCCACCATAGGCAATAAATGAATTAAAATGCATCAATCATATGTGTCAGATCTCAACTCAATAGAAAAAAATAAATTACTTACTCTCTCCATACAAACAAAACACGGTACACTTTGCTTAGGAAGAAAGAGAAGCATGGTTTAGGAACAAGGAGAAGTAAAGTGTACAAAAAACCTAAACCATTTGTTGGAAGAGAAGCCTTACAAGTTGGCAGGCCTCTGTATAGGTTTCTCTTCCAACAAAATGGTTGAAGTTTTCCTACGTTTTACTTCTCTTTGTTCATATTTCAAATTTACAGAAGGGAACTAATTGATTTGAGGGGGATTTTATCATTACAAACTTCCATTATATTGTCATGAACTAAACAAGATAACTCACTAACATAAAAGCTTAAGAACTTTAATGGGCCAAATATGCCCTCAAAGTATGCGTCTGGGACCAAATATATCCTCCATATGGGGCCGTTTAAAATAAGGGCATATTTGGAGCTAGTATTGGACGGCAAGGGCATGTTTGTGCTAAAGTATTAATGACGGGCATATCAACTCAATTTTGCATGGTTCAAGGGCATATTTGGAACTTTTTCGTTTCCTAATTGTCCCAGGCTTTTGCGGCAACTACATCACACCTCTTCTCGAGGACCATTTCAGCGGCACCTTCCTTTTTCCAGCTATTAATCTTGCATCAACTTTCTGGCAATCAGAACTTTCCAGCGAGATCCCAATGAGTAGATCTTCTCATTGGCTTTCTGCAGGTTCTCCAGCAATGTTTTTGTTGACAGTTATGTTTTCAAAATCAGCAAACTCTAGTTGATTTTCTCGATTTAACTTTGAGTTTGCGTGTTAGAATGTTAAATGATAGTTTTAGAATATTAGGCAAGGTAAAGTGTTAGCGTTAGAATGTTAGAGCTAGTATTAGAAGTGTCACGTTCTTAAGTAAAAAATTGTCCCGACTTGGACATATGTCATATGCGTAATACAAAAACAACAACAAACCCAGCTTAATTCCATACATGGGATCTGGGGAGGGTAGTGTGTGCGCTGCCTTACCCCTACCCTATAAAGGCAGAGAGGTTGTTTCTGATAAACCAACGACTTAAGGAACAATAAGAATAAAGCAACAAGCAATAGCAGCAGTAATGTTATATGGTAATGGGAGCGAATGATATAAAAAGTAATAAAGAACCACAAATAAGAGAATACAAGAATCGTACTAGTACTACTGGTAAACCTAGGAGAAACTCACAACTACCTGTCAACCTACCACCTAAATCCTCTCCACACCTTCCTATCGTGAGTCATGTCCTCGGTAAGGTGAAGCAATAACATGTCATCCCTAATCACCTCTCCCCAATACTTCTTTGGCCTACCCCTACCCTTCCTCAAGCATGCCATGGTCAACCTATACATATATACTACTACATGATGTCATTGATTTTCTTTTCTTTTTTCTTTTTTTTTTTCTTTTTTTTTTGAGATGGTAATAGACAGGAGCTTCATAATCAATTTTTGTCTGAGCATAAAATTTCCATATCCAAATATGAGCCGATTTCCCTACAACTTCATCATAAAATAACAGAAAATATTGATATTGAAAAGACAGAAAAAGGAGGCAATAGATTTCCACTGTGCGTGCAGATTAGTAAATTGAGTAACAGAGAGGAGATGGATATGAAGACTAATGTCTTACATCTTACCTTGAGAAACTCCGGGGGCAACCCTTCTAGCTCCATGTCAGTGAAAAGTAGAAAACTACAATCATCATCCAAATTACGAATGTATTGCATGCTTAGCTCATCAATATTTGCAGTTAAACGCTGCAACTCCTCTTTCTTAGATAAGGTCAGATTCACGCCATTCCTTTCAAATTCTCGAACCTGTCACTGAATCTTAACCAATTAAAAACTGAAAAGAAATAGCGGATATCTTCAACAACCTCGATTAAGAAAATCCAAAATTTGAATGACTGTGTAGAGAGAAGGGCTCTTTTGGAAGTGTACGCAGAGGCATAAGAAAGAGAGATCCTGGGAAATGAGACCTTTTAACACTTCAAATATCAAATTTATAAACATCTTATAAGAATGAAGAAATTCAACTGCATGTAAGCACAGATTATCAATAATATGAAGAAACAAAAAGTTATGTGCTTTTCCAATTAACCTTCAATCAAAAACTAGTACCAACAAAAAGAGTGATAATTTCTGTCCTTGCAGAGAAAGAGAAGTAAAATGTTTATTCAGCAAAACTTGTGTAATCTCCATGTATAGTCCAGATGTGGCATGAGTAACTAGTTCTCAATTAATTGCACATGAGTGAAGGTTTCACTACCCAGGAAAGGTAGCTCTGACTACTCAGACACATTTGACATTTCTCAGCCTCGCCAAAGTGAACAGTTTATGTACCTTTGGGAAACTATACAGCAATTCTAAAAATTATTAGCATTGGATACCTCAACTAGAATGAAAGCACAGTAACCATCCAGAAAGGTAAGCCACCAAAAGGTTGGGTGAATGCGGCAAGAGTGCATAACCCATGAGTATCGAAAACCAGTGAACTTTGAAAATCAAATAAGGGAAGAAATCAGCTCATGCCCCATACCAGGAAGTGGGTAAAGTTTTTAGCATCAGTACTCAATCCATCCCCTGTTACTGTTAAAGCTTTGACAACCCTGTATATGTCCTCACGCTTCCTGAACTCATACAAAATAAAGAAAAGATGGGATAGTTAATTAGCAAGTGCTTCTAGGAAAGTTTTGATACAGAAGTAGTCCGTAAATTTTTAGCTTAATGCACAACTAAATATTACTTATGACTTCTCACCATCAAATAGTTGCCCGATGTAAGCTACAGACATACTTGTGTCTACTGATGGGAGTTTAGAAATGGAACACCGCATTGCAGGTTGGGCATCCTAGATAAGAACGTTCCCTGAAGAGTTATTGAAGGGCCTCTACTGTAGTTTTCTAGGCAAGTCAATAAGCTATGGGACATACAAAACACACATCGGACTTATATGATTTACATTTTGGAAAAATGTATTTCTACCAATGTCTTTTGCATCTATTATATACTAGAAGCCACCAAATTTATGATTTTGCATAAAGGTGTTAAGGAAAAAAAAACGTCATTCAAGCAAAAAACCAGTCATAGCTAAAAAGTAAAACAACAAAATAGAGGATTAACGGTAGTTTGAGGACAGTGGAAGATGGAAATGTTGAGATTTTTAATGATATACCAACATTTATCAAGTTCGCTTTATGACCAGGAGAATCCAAGGACTATATGATTGTTATTTGAAAGGTTAAGAGGAAACATGGTTGATGGTTCCTAATAATTTAGTTTCATGCTAGTTGATTTCAATAAATTACTATCACTACTTCCTAATGAAAAATTGTTCCATTCCAGCAGATCAAACTCGGAACCAAGATCTTTTTTCCTACTTCGAGATACCAAAAAGCAGAAGAGGAATTTGCAAAATGAAATAGAAGGGTTGAAACTTTGTAATGGAAGAACCTGCACATCGAAATGTGAGCATCTATTTTTCTCTCTGCTTCAGCACTAGCTTTGCGTACATCCTCTGAAGTTGATAACCATTTAGGAAAGACACATGACTGTATTAACGGGAACTGCTGTGCCTCTAAATCTGCTAATGGAAATATCACATTTACATAGGCAACCTACAAATTTACAAATAGAAATATCAGCAATATCTTGAAAACGGCATATCAGATTAGAATATAAGACTTAATGCAGAAGAAACTTCTAAAATAGCAATATTTTATAAGTTCCAAACAAACACAAACCCAACTTAAACAAACACAAACCCCTGATTGACTCCAAGAAAATAATCAGAGAATTAAATACTAGTTTCGACTGCTAGACTGCAACTTAACACCAAAGTTAGCCTAATAGTCAGCAGCCTAATAGTCAGCTAATTGAGACACTTCTCTCTTCACATGATGAACTTGAACTCAACAACTATTAAGAAATTTTTTAGCAGAATGAAACATAGGGTAACATACTTAAGTACTTCCACACTTGGGCATAGTAAAGATTTGCCACTTAATCCTCTATCAATATATAAGAAATGATGGTCTGGCTAAGGCTTTCAGCAACTGGCCACATAACTATAATCAACTAAAATTCCATCAATTCTAGCTAGTGATTGCCCTTTGTCTAAGTTGCAGTTTTGTTGTTGCACTAACATGACTGAGCTACAGCAATCCGTGGATTGCATACTGCATTTTTGTATCAGTTATATACAATTCCCTGAATATGAGAGTTCCATTCAATAAATGTTTGATAAGTTCATGGATTTCACAACAAATGGTATTGTCAAAGAGTGGATAGTTCTTCGCCACCCTAGAGATTCTCCTCAAAGCAGCGGTCAAAAAATAGAAGCCTCTTGAGTTCCCTATAGAGAATGTTTTATAAGTCCATGGATTACACTTAAGCTCGTTGATTACACAACAAATAGAGTGGCCAGAGAGTTAGTGAATAGGTCTCTAGCAACCGAGATGGTAGAAGCCTAGACAATTGAGGATTCCCCTTGAAGCAATAGTCACGACATAGAAAGCCTCTTGTAAAATATTGACACAGGAAATGAGTCGCCTACAAGATTTAAATAATACAAATGCAGCTACACACTGTGGCATAGAATTCATTTACAGTCATAGAAACAAGGGGAAAAGAGGAGCTATTGTCACAATTCACATAACTTTGGTGAATGTGAATGACGTCCTCCTGCATGCCCTCCTAGAATTTTGAACATCAATTCAACAAGTCCCAGAACAGGACTAGAAATTCAACCTACTCCTCAAAGTTGAGAACCATTTTGCATGACATTGGTGTACTGACAAGCTTACATGCTCCTTGAGTAATTCACTGCACCGCTTGCTACAACCCACAAACACGTGCTGGGTAAACCTACCCATCGAAGTTGGAGTAGAAGGACTCATACTAAGTGTTGCAGCAAAGATTCGAGTGGATCTTCAGGTTATTAATCTTATACTTCAACCATCCGCATGAGGACCTCAAACTTGAGAATCATTACAATACGGAGTACACAAATTTTGTGCCCAATAAGTTTGTATAGTGCAAAAGGGGACTTTTCAATTTCAGGGCAAAAGGATAGTCGCCTTAGTACAGCTAGGCAAGAAAGAAAATATGGCCAAAATATTAGAATTAACGGACAATCCACAATCTAACTAGACATAACTCAACAAAATAAATACCTTGTCAAGTGGAACTGAAGCAACAGCATCATGAACTTGCTTCGACTTCTTAATTATGCTTTCCGCTAATTTCAGAATTTCAGAAGCAGTTAGATTCACTCGAACATTTGAACCTGGAATCTCTGCAATTCAACAAAAAAAGTTTGATTTGTTATAGGAATAAACAAAAATAGAAGTGTAAGCAAAGGGAACCTTTTTTCTTGCGATGTTTGTTGTTGATGGCGGAGATAGCAAAGTTGACAGCAATAGCGAGAAGAGCAGCGGCTCCCGTCAAAGCAATGAGATTGCTTCTGTCTCTCTTCTGCTGCTTACCCATTTTTTCAACTCTACTTCTACTTGGAGAGAGAGAACTGCTCACACCCAAACCTTAAGTATTATTCTTGATTTTCCTCACCAAACGGCAAATGGGAGGGAAATTTTGTGTGTTTTTGGGCTGGACTGAGGTGTTGTCGTGTTGACCTTTTTTAACGTCCGACAAAACGGTAAAAATTGCAGGGGCGCCCTGTTTGGGCGCCCCTGTAGCCGCTTTGTCTTTTTGTTTGCCTCCGTACATATTTTTTAAAAAACTTCAGCTTCCCTTTATAACTGAGCTGAAGTTTCCGGGTTACTAAACAAAAACTTCAGCTCTAGAGCTGAAGTTTTTATTTTATAACTAGAGCTGAAGTTTTCGGGTTATTAAACAAAAACTTCAGCTCTAGAGCTGANGCTCTTCCGATCTCCTAGTTATAAAATATAAACTTCAGCTCTAGAGCTGAAGTTTTTATTTTATAACTAGGAAACTTCAGCTCTAGCTGAAGTTTTTATTTTATAACTGGCAAATTTCAGCTCTAGAGCTGAAGTTTTTATTTTATAACTAGGAAACTTCAGCTCTAGAGCTGAAGTTTTCCAGTTACAACACAAAAACTTCAGCTCTTCAGTTACAACACAAAAACTTGAAGTTTTTATTTTATAACTGGAAAACTAGAGCTGAAGTTTTTATTTTATAACTGGAAAGAGCTGAAGTTTTTGTTTTATAACTGGAAAACTTCAGCTCGAGACTGCTTAAGTTTTTATTTTATAACTGGAAAACTTAAGCTGGAAACTGCTTAAGTTTTTATTTTATAACTGGAAAACTTAAGCTGAAGTTTTTATTTTATAACTGGAAAGAGCTGAAGTTTTTGTTTTATAACTGGAAAACTTCAGCTCTAGAGCTTAAGTTTTTATTTTATAACTGGAAAACTTAAGCTGGAAACTGCTTAAGTTTCTATTTTATAGCTGGAAAACTTAAGCTCTAGAGCTTAAGTTTTTATTGTATAACTAGAAAACTTAAGCTGGAAACTGCTTAAGTTTTTATTTTATAACTAGAAAACTTAAGCTGGAAAACTGCTTAAGTTTTTCGGTTACAAAGACAAAAACTTCAGCTGAAGTTTTCCAGTACAAAAGAAAAACTTCAGCCCCGTGGGCTGAAGTTATGTGAAAAAGCGGGTATGTTTGCAATTTTTTTTGCAAAGCGGGCACAAGTTAAAATGTGGCACAAAAAACGGGTATAGATGCAAATGCCCCGACAAAACGAACGTCACCAACACTATTAAAATAGGAAGAAATTCAAAAATAGCCAGATTTACAAGTGGTAATTTAAAAATAGCCATAATTTCAAAAGTCATCGAAATTTAGTCATTTTTCATGTAAAAGATAAATTTGAACGAAAATACTATTCAAAATCCAGAAAATACTCCAACATAATATACTGGAATTCCGGTGTAATATAACTCCAGTATAATACATTGGATTTCCAGCAAAGTATACTGGTCCAACATAATATGCTGGAAAGTTCATATACAAGTGCACCGAACACCAGTATATTATGCTGGACCGGTCTTTGTTGCAGCAAAATAGTGGCTATTTTTCAATGACTTGGCAAATTCTAACTATTTTTGAATGACCAATTCGAAAACTAGCTAGCATGTGCTATTTTAACATTAAAATCTATTGTGATATATTGGGCTTTATTTTATTGGGCCCGCTATTGGATGTGTAAGCCAATTTTCGGGGAAGTGCACAGTTAGCCACTAATTAGAGATGTCTTTACTTTTTAGCCACTATTTAAAATGTATTTACTCTTTAGCCAGTGCTTAATAAATTTTTATCCGCCCGGACAAAAATACCCCTGTGCTAGACATGGTGTCCTTAACTTCATGAGTGTTGTGTAAATATGAGGACAAAGTGTCCTGAATTAGCACCTTCTGTTTTAAACTTTAGGACATCATGTCCTTAACTTCATAAGTGCAGTATAAATGTTAAGGACATGGCGTCCTTAACTTCATGAGTGCTTTGTACATATTAAGGACATGGTGTCCTTAACTTCATGAGTGTTGTGTAAAAATTAAGGATAAAATGTCCTTAATATTTACATAGCACTCATGAAGTTAAGGACATCATGTCCTTAATATTTATACAGCACTCATGAAAAAAAGGTAAAATCGTCTTTTTGTATTATTTTCAATAGAGTAGCGGCTATTTTTGCTTGACACTAAAAATGCTAGGTAAAAACTAAATACCACATTAAAAAGTGGCTCCTACTCAGATTTATTCCCCAAATTCCGGTAAAATTATATAAAATCATAAGTTGGTAGAATATCTTACGTGGTTGAGAAGTGTGAGGTAAGGCATCGTATTGTTCCCTCCCATAATGGGTTCATCGGTTAGTTATGCATTTCTTATCTACTCATCATGTACAGACTTCACATAAGACTTTTTATTTATAATATTTCATGTTGAATGAAGTGTGAAATAGACATAATCAATTCGCAAAATGTAAATCCTTGTAATTTAAACGTCAACTATTGTTAATTGTGATTCTAATATCCATATCCTCGAAGTATAAAATAACTCATATGAGAATGTGAAAATATTTGAGACATGATAACATAGATGTGGTAGAGTTTTAGGGGCGACTCAACAAAGTTGGTGGACTAATGCCAAATCTTAATTTATTTTATGTCAATTTTCTTCATTTGTTGAGATGCAATGTTATTAATAACTTTTATAATCAATTTTTTCTAATAATCTGTTTTCAATCGGTAATGTGTACACACACACACAGACACACACACACACACACACACACACACACATATATATATATATATATATATATATATATATATATATTATAAAAGCACGAATGTTAGAACACTNACGACTAAATATCCCCAAATATTAATCGTCTTTTATGCCCTCCTAAAAGTAAATTATCTCTTCACAATAGTATTATGCTGATGTACAAAATCGTATTAAAAGGTCTTGTCTTAAAATTCAAGATACTTTACGAGTATTCTACGTCTAATAGACACGAAATTGAACTCAGAAAAGTTGTCTTAGAATTCGAAGACATTAGGATTCTTCTACATCAAATAGGCATCTTATTAAACTAATTATTGTAGCTTAGGAGTATGCAAATATTCTAAATCGCCCAACATTCCATAAGTATGGATTTCGTGTCTTGCCAACTCTTGTATTGATTTCACATACAACTGCACGTTTGTTGTTTGATCATTGATATATTTTGAGTTATTTTTTCCTCCGTGAATTTGCAGAAAATTTAGAACTTGATTTAAATGGATGTTCTTGTTAATTTGTTGCTTATCCATTATGATGATGGTCATAGTTAAGCCTCTGGGCAGCACAATTCTGACGATTTTTTGTGTTGAATTTGAGATTAGAAAAACAACTAATAAGTGAATTGCTTGGAATTACTAGATGTTACTTTATATATTTTTTGTTTTATTGTTATTGCAGGTTTTATGAACACTGGACATCATTGGTACGTTCAATGACAAAGATCTTTTTGGACACTGTTCTCTTAATTCAATACGTGTATTGCTGTGTTATAATAAGTAGACTCACCAACTGATTATTTCAACTGTTAACATTGTTATTAAATCTATTCATTCACAATGTATTTTTATAATAAATCAAAGTTAGGCTATATTTTTTCCAAATATTATTGCATATGAAGTAAAACATGAAACACGTACGGATAATCTGATCTTTGGGTTTATCACATCGGAGTTGAAGGTATGCCTTTTCTTTAATTGATTTCATGTATATTACCTTCTAGATTATACTTGTCAGAGTTATAATTTCAGTTAATTTAGGTGATAGAATGTCATATTTATTTATGTTGCTAAAATTAGTATGCCCTTATTAATTTTCTTGATTGGTAATGCGTTTTGCAGTTCATCATTCTCCTTGTGATGAAGTTTTCGCCTTATTTGTATTTTGTATGACATAGCAAATTTATTTCATTAATTTGATGAGAAACTTTAGGAGCCTACAAGAAGTTTGAGACTATACAATAATACAAACATACAAAATTTATAAATACATGTCAATTTTCTTTCTTAAGAATTTTCACTTTATAATTAGCGAAAAATATACGTGCAACGCACGTGCATAGGTAGGATTTTTTTCAATTTTAATTTTAAAATATTTTGTTCCACTAATGAGCCGATGGTCTATCGAAAACAGCCTCTTTACCTTATAAAGGTAGGGGGTAAGGTACACGTATACACTACCCTCCCAAGATCCCACTTGTGAGATTCACCAGGTATGTTGTTGTTGTTTCGCAAATGCAACTGTAACATCTTTTAATATTATTATAAATGATATAGATATTTGAAAAAGAATAAAGTCTTTTTATTTCCTTTTCTACTAATTTTTTAAATTTTTATTTTAAAATACTCAAATTTTTAAAAAATTTAATTTGTAAACCTATTAATAGTGAAAAATAGGACCCCAAAAGTTTTGGAACCCGAAGTCACGGCTTCATTTGCCTTACCTAAGAGCTGACATAGTAGAGTTAGAAGTGGAAATAATGGGTAAAGTGGCCAAAGATGACCAAAGATCAAAGTTAAAAACGTAAGAGTTAGCTTCAGGTGCTTCTCACAGCACCCTTGAGTCACGAGAAAAGAAAATCTAGGCATCTTAGGTAGCCTGCGTGGCGAGCTCGTCGCAGGAATGGGTTGATTGGCTAAACGAGGAAACGATAAAGTCACAAGCATCACAAGATCATTGCAAGGAAGGGGTCTAGCTAGGCCATACGTTTTTTGAGTGTTACTACCCGGAATTCACATCCTCGGAATCGTGATGGCGCCTAACATTTCAGTTGCTAGGCAAGCCAACGTTAGATATAGTTATTAGCCATTTTTAATAAATCAAATTAAATGAAAACCAATAAAAAGAATAAACTGAAATAGAGTGAATAAACTAAAATAACGGCGATATCCAGATACAATCTTAAAACTGGTGTCACAAGTACATGAGCAACTAGAGTACTACAAATAATAGTCTGAATGAAAGCATAACTGTCTGAATCGAAATAAACAGCGAATGTAATGTAAAGGGGACTTCAAGGTTGCGAACGCGGTGCAGCTATACTGTCGCGCCCCAA